ACAGTGACCGAACAGTGAGTGGGCTCAAGTATATCAGAGATGGCACAGATAGGGTAAGGGTTATGATAGATACTTATTGGTGGCATTTGTTTTTCATCTGGTTCACAAGGGGCTGAGTGTAGCTATGGCTGTACCCTTTGGTCTACATAATCCTGATTTGATATTTAGCTGCTAAAGACAACATTAAAACCTATTATACAATATTTGTCCTTTGGTGACTGAGATATTTCACTCAGCATAATGTCTTCCACAGTCATCCATTTTGCATAATATTTCACGAGTTCCTTGTTTTTCAAGGACAAATATTGCATAGGGCCACTGTTGTAAAATGAGACTGACATCAGGGTTGAGGGAAGATAGAAAAAGAGGGGAGGAATGATGTATATTACATCGAAACATATGAGGGAGAGATCTGTTTAAAAGGGATATATGAATGGTATTCTTGTCGTTACAGAAGTCCAGAATGAAGACTGCATAGTGGAGTGAACTTGGGAGGAGGGATTGCATAATAATGAAAGAGTTTTTTCTTTTCCTTTACAAGGAGAGGAGTGATTTGGGGGAGTGGGGGTGGGCAGGGAGAAAAGTGCAACAATGAATGAATGGAAATCCTAAGTCTCTGAAAACTTTCATCAAAATTAATTTTTAAAAAAAGAAAAAAAAAACCCAAAAAACAAACCTATTATACAAAGATCTTCAAAGTCAAGAAGAAAACTAATAAGAAAACATATTTACAGCTGTGTAGTATGATGCTTCTTGGAAGAACAATGTTGCAGTCGGCTTCCTTAAAGATGACAATTTTGGGAATGGGACAGATAGGTCCACTGTGAGTCAGAAAGATCTCTGGTGACCTAGTGGTAGAAAGCTGTGCTGCAATCCCAAAGGCTCATGGTTCGAATCCACCAGCTGCTCCATGGGAGAAGGATAAGCAAACTCCTCCTGAAAACCCACTGGAGGATCAGTTATGGGTTGGTTCCTACTTGAAGGCACATAACAACAACATAACAATATACTTTAAGCATGTTTTCAGGAGGGATGAGCCCTTGGGAAAACATATGATGCTGGGAAATGTGGAGGGTCAGAGAAAGAGAAAAAGACCCTTAACAAGATGAATTGTCACAGTGACTGTAATGATACCTCAAGAATGTTAGAGATTGTGAGGATGGGCAGGACAGGACAAGGTTCAGATTTGTTCTTCATAATCAACTTGAAGGCACCAAACCACAACAGCAATTATCTTCCTCTGATCAATCCATGCAATGTGACTAGTAATAACAGCATGTTGTTGTTGCTGTTAGGATCCATCAAGTTGAGTATGACTCATAGTGACTCAATGAACAATTCTGCACCCTGTTCTATCATGCGCCATCCTCACAGTCTTTGACGTATTTGAGCCCATTGCTGTAGTCATTGTGTCAATCCACCTGGTTGAGAGTCTTCCTCTCTTTTGTCATTCCTCCATCTTTGCAAGCATGATAGACTTTACCAAGGAATAACCACTCCTAGCAAAATGCCTGAAGAACAAAGCTTTATCATCTTTGCTTCCAAGGTGTGCTCTGGCGGTACCTCGTCCAAGACTTATTGATTTGTTCTTTTGGCAGTCCAGGAGACAGTCATTACTCTTCTACAATACCCTGGTTCAAAGACATAAATTTTTCTGCCATCTATATTCATTGTCCAGATCTCAGATGCATAGAAAATGATTGAAAAGACCATGGCCTGAATCAAATGTACCTTAGTCCTCAAACTAACTAATCTGCGTGGCCAGTGCAATTCTTTACCACTAGGCCACAGTTATTGTTGTTGGTATGTGTCATCGAGTCAACTCCTACTCATAGCAATCCTATGTACAACTCTGAACCTGTTCTATCTTGAGCCAAAATCACTGTGTCTGACACACCTACCTCCATTACTCCAGTCACTGAGTTAATACATCTCATCCAAGGTCTTCTTCTCTTGTGCTGTCCCTCCCCTCTTCCAAGCATGACGTCCTTCTCCAAGGACTGGTCCTTCCTGGCAACATGCCTAAAGTATGTCAGATGGAGCCTCAAAATCCTTGCCTCTATGGAGCAGTCTGGTTTCACTCTTTCCAGGACAGATCTGTGTGTTCTCTTAGCAGTCTATGTTCTCTTAGCAGTCAATACTCTTCTCCAACACAACTCAAAGTCATCAATTCTTTTTCTATCAGCCTTAGTCATTGTCTTGCTCTCTGGTGCATAGCAAATAACTGTGAAATCCATGGCTTAGAGTCTCTAGAGTGACATCATTGCTTTTCAGCACTCTGGAGGTGTCCCATTAAGCATATTTTTGCAATGTAATTTGTCTTTTGATTTCCTGGATGCTAATACCAAGAGTGTTGATTGTGGAGGCAAGCAAGCTGAAGCCTTTAACAATCTCAATCTCTTCATCATCTGTCAAGATGCTGTCAATTGGCCAGTGGTGAGAATCTTTGTTTTCTTGATGTTGAACTTCAAGCCATTTTTAAGGCGGCAGTCCTTCACCTCTTGCAGCAAATACCTTAGGTCCTCCTCTGTTTTGGCACACAAGGTTGTGTCATCTGCATAATACAGTTTGTGAATGGGTCTTTCTCCAATTCTGTGCCACATTCTTCCTCATAGGGCCCAGCCTCCCAAATTATCTGTTCCACTTATAGTTTGAAAGGTATGGAAATAGGATGCACCCCTGGTGTACACCTTTCCTGATTTTGAAACATGCAATGTTTCTTTGCTCTGTTCTAATTGTGCTTATGTGAAACTAGGCCACTGTTGTTGTTGTTGTTCATTGTCATCAAGTTGAGAAAAACTCATTGTGACCCTATGAACAAAAGGCCTGAAGCCTTCCTATAACTATTGTAATTTTTCCAGGTTCATAGAATTTCCAGAGGCATGTGGTTTAGGAAGTGTATGTCACTCCTGCTTCCAAACCTGTCGTAAAACTGGGAGCTCCACCAAACACTGTCCACCATGGCAGCCAGTATGGCATTTGACCCCCAATGGAACAAGGTTTAGCTTCACAGCAAACCCAGATTTCATTAGTACAGCAAATTGCCATGTGCTGTATCCAGTGGAAGTCCAAGCGTGGGGCTGGTAATTTATATGAAGATTTTCAACTTTTGCTAATGAAAAAAAATCTTTACCAAAATAAATTTTTATTCTACTGTAAAAAAAAAAGAAGAGTGCTGTTCAACTTAGAAGAATGTTCCTCCAAAATGAAATAACAATAGCAATAGCAATAGCAATAGGCAATAGGCCCCCAGGCCCTCCTTAAAGAACACTGACAGGTTCTGATAACATTCGATTGTAGTTGTATTGTACAATCAGTTGTAACTGACTCAATAGCTGACCTTCCAGCAGGTTCTCAAAGGCAATAAATCACAAGCGAGATGTCCCAGTTTTCTCCTGTGGAGCAACTGATGTATTCCACATACATGCCTTTGAGTTGGCAGCCCAGCCCTGATGTTGTTGTTGTTATGTGTCGTTGAATCATTTATAATTCATAATGACCACCAACAGCTCTGAACCCTGCTCTATCTTAAGCCAATCTCATTGTCTCTGGCACACGTGCTCCCGTTACCCCCCAGTCACTGAGTCAGTCCATCTATCTCTTCTCATCTCATCTCTTGCTCTCTTGTGCTGTCTCTCTACCCTTCCAAGCATGATGCCCCTCTCCAAGGGGTAACGTTACTCAAAAAGGCCTTGTTTTGTTGCTGGGTACTTGCAAAATTTTCCTTTAAAACTTGAACACAGCTTCAATTACTTGTCTCACTCCCTTGTAGCGTTTAACACAGGTTTTTCATTTATATGACATCATTCATAATTATTACAAATTGTTGTCCTTCCATCTTATCCAACTCTTTGTTTGCAGCTCTAATAGACATGAGATGGTACAACGAAGGGTTTTTATTTATTCTAGGGCATTTTCTTTCTGTTATTTAGTTGTATTTCTACAGGTATTTAACATCAATCTAGACACAAGCTATTGTGTACCCTGGATTCGGAACCGACTGATCCTCTAGGATCTAGCTGATCCTCTAGCGAGTTCGTAGAGGCAGTAAACCACAAGGGAGGAGATTGGCCATATGCCTCTGGGTCTCTGGCTGAGTTACTTGTGGATCCCAACTAGCCTTTGCTTTGGGAGCGCAAGTCCTTACCACGTGGCGACCAGAGGCCAAATTTTCAAATTTTTTTTATACATTATCAACATTGAAGATAGTGGTCTAGTGGCAGGAAACTGCGCGGCAATCCCAAAGTCACGCGGTTCCAGGCCACCAGCTGCTGAGAAGGACGGGCAATATCCTCCCATGCGATTAACTGCCTCTGAAAACCCGCCAGAGGGTCAGCTATGGGTTGGTTCCAACTCACCGGTACACAACACAACATCAGCATTGAAATCTTCAGATTATTACTGGACTGTCTACAGCCACCAAACACGATTTGAAGTGGTGATAGGAGGAAAAGAAATGATCTTCTGACGTCAGATCTACTTCAGGATGTTTCAGAATCGCCTGGACCACCTGGCGCGCAGGTACACTCGGGATGCCGGACTACAGGTGCAGCGGGACGTGCGCCTAGGGGAGCCACTCACCTGCAGCGCAGTGACTGAGTGGAACTCTCCTTTAAGCGCACCTGCACGCATGCGCACACTCAGGCGCCTAAGACAACCTGGTGGAAAAGAAACATTCTTTATTCTCACACGCACAAGACGCATGTTTGGAATAAAGCATTTTCTTCTCTGAATAAGTAAAGCCTACTTATTTGGCGTGGTTTTAGGCTCACACGAGATCCCTGGGACACTGGTTAGCTTCTTAAAATGAGTCCTTCACGAAGTGAGGAGTTGCTCCCAGGGTGCGTCTGCAGGGCGAACAAAGCCGCAACTTGGCCTTGGCCTTTCCGGTCTTTTCAATTCTCCCAGCGCCCTCCTCTCGCTCCCAGGGCCCGGGCGGCGCCGGCGGACGTCCACTCCCGTGTCCTCCCTCCCGAGGGGCGGGGCCGAGCGCGAGGCCAGGAAATGCCCAGGAGTGTGTGTCACCTGCCCCGACGACTTGTTGATTCCCTGGAGCGCCGCCTCCCAAGCCTGGAGCTCCCCCACCCCGAGGACCATCTCGCTCACCTGCCTCCCTTCCCGCCAGGTGTGGCCCCGGGGAGCACCTGAGACGCCCCCGGGACCCCTGGTCCCCTCACTTGCCAGCCATGAGTAAGTTGGGCAAGTTCTTCAAAGGGGGCGGCTCCTCTAAGAGCCGGGCTGCCCCCAACCCCCAGGAGGCCCTGGCCCGGCTGCGGGAGACCGAAGAGATGCTGGGCAAGAAGCAAGAGTACCTGGAGAACAGAATCCAGAGGGAGCTCACCCTGGCCAAGCGGCATGGCACGCAGAACAAGAGAGGTAGGCTCGGCTGGACGCGGGCGCCAGTTCCCACACTCCCACCTCCAGCCCTCAGCTGGGGGACAGGCCCCCACAGCACCCCACTCCCCGGGCGGCCAGGTCAGACCCTGCTTTTCTACGAACTGGCACTCACCTCCTGGAGGGACTAGGGCGAGTTTGAGCGAACCGTCTTTTGATTAAAACAAACTTTTAAAAAAAAATTTTTTTTTAAATTAATTTTAATGAAAGTTTACAGAGACTTAGGGTTTCCAATCATTCTTTGTTGCACTTTTCTCCCTACCCAACCTGTCCCCCAAATTCCCTCTTCTCCTTGAAAAGAAAGAAAAACTCTTTAATTACTTTTAAAGGTAAAATTGATGTTGGTGAGTTTTCAGTCGTAAACCATTCATACCTGACCCGCCATTTAGTTTCTGAGGTTGTAAGTCACAGGAGAGGAGATTGCCCTGTTCCTCCCTCAGAGCAGCTTGTGGATTCGAACCCCTGGAGACGCAGGTGCTGCCCTTCAGGTGAGCATCACAGCACCCTATGGAGTAAGCCTCCACAACACAAGGTTTCTTTATTTCAAGTTTTGGTATTTTGTTCATTGTGGATTCCCCACCCCTAAATTTGAGTTTTGAAAGTGTGACATAGAAGTATTACATACCTTCGTTACTGAATTTTTTGCACTCTCTTTAAATATTGCTCATGGTCCTGCTGCCTCAAGAATAAATCTCATTTTCCCTCCAGCTATCTGCTGTATGTGGTGTATTATATCACACATTTTAACCTGGTGTGCAAATCTTCAGTGAAGCATAGACTAGTAAGTCCTCCATAGCTTACTCCTCAGTGATTGAAAACCTTGTGCAGTTGAAGGAGGGGAAAAAAGAAAATAGAATTCAACTTCCTATCCAGGGCTTTTGACTCCACAAGGGACTTTGAAATCCATGGTGAGCCTTGGTGCTCCTGTTGCACCTTGAACTTTTTGTACTTTGCCAAGCTTTCTTCAGTCTCTGACAGTCTACGGAGAATTGATTTAGCATAGAGAATGCGTGGACACAGCAGCTAAGACATATATAAAAACCCAAGAAATAGTTGAAGTGATTCACCATTGTTAACACCAGGTCAGTGACAGACCCAGAAATAGAAATAGCAATACAAGATGCTGCTTACCACAAACCCTAAACATTTGCATCTTTTGGTGGAGTTTCTTTAGTCATAACAAAGCCTTGAGAAGACTTAGCTCATACTGAATGTTTGTTTAATGCAGGAAAGGAATAATGGCTCATGGAGTTGACCTTGGAAACCCTGCATCTTTCCCATAAATGTTTGCCTGATGCATTTGTGCTTAGTCAGGATCAACAATGCAAAGGGCAAGTTTCATTTTTCTCTGCTACTGCTTGCCATTTTGGCCAGATTATAGTGTACTGGAGAGCTAAGGACTAGTTTTATTTTTAGTTTATGTTGGGAAAAATTTTGAGAAGTTATAAAATGACAAGTTCCAAAGAGAACCTTGACCATTATGGCTTGCTAAATGTCACTCTGTTACTTGACCCTTTCTCTTCATTTGATAGGCACTCTGGGGTTTGCTTTTTAAAAAGTTTTGGGATCCCCCTCTTTTTTTTTTAATCTGTGGGGTTATCAGTAAATACTGATCTTAAAAATTTAAGCATCTGCTTCTAGAAAGTAGTAAAAATACATATTTGCTTTAAGAAGATGAAAATATGTAAAATAATGTGAATTTTTTAATGTTCTCCAGTTGAACATGTACCAAAGTCTATCAATAAAAGTGTATCACAATAAAAAGTGGAAACAGAACAAAAGGCTAAAACTTCCACTCTAACAGAAACTGTAACTTCCATAGATCAGGGCAATTATAAGTGCAAATACCAAGTGCCAAAAGCAAATTGATGCTACAAATGCCATTTGTTCTTTGTCATGCATCTTGGATAGATTTGGTGATGTTATAATGGTCCTTGGAGGAAGAGGCTTATTAGTATAAGGTCATCTGTAATCTATCTGGAAGTATTCAGTCACAGGTCTATAGAAACATTATCAACCTCTACAACATGCCTCCAGAAACTTTATGAACTTTTATAAATGTCGGTAGTTGTAGAGGGCCTTCAGGCCTTTTGTTCATAATGTTGCTGTGAGTTGTGCTTGACTTGAAGATAGTCAACAACAACAACATTTTTAAAATAAACCAGATACCTTCATATCTCCATAGTTACTGTCTTCTGTTAGCTACTAAAGATACTTTCATACACATAATAAAATGTCCGATTAAGAATAAAGCAAAACAAACCAATTAGCCTCAAGCAACTCTAACTCATGCCATCCCATGGTTATCAAGACAGAACTGTGCTCTGTTGTTTTTTTAAGTGGCTTAATTTTTTGGAAGTTAATAACCAGGCCTTTCTCCTCCACGATGCTTCTGTTGTGGTGGTGGTGTCGTTAGGGACTTGTCAAGCCAAGTACGACACATAGCAACATTAAGAACAACAGATCTAAACCCAGTCCTATCCTCTGTCATTCTCACCGTCTCTGAGACACGTAAGCCTATTGCGACAGTCACTGTGTCAATCTATCTCACTGAAAGTCTTCCTCTGTCTCACTGGCGCTCCCCCTTTCCAAGCATGATGTTCTTTTCCAAGGAACGGCCTCTCCTAGCAATATGTGGAAAGTATATGAGACAAAACTTTCTCCACCCTTGCCTCTAAGGAGCACTCTGGACACACATTTTCAGCCAGGGACTCCAAGCTCTACATAAAAAGAACTGAAACCAAAACCAGTTGCCGTGTAATTGATTCCATCTCATGACAACTCCATCTGTATCAGAGAACTGTATTTCACAGGGCTCTCAATGGCTGAATCTTTAGGGAAGCAGTTGGCCAGGTTTTTCTTCCAAGATGCCCCAGAGTGGACTTGAACTCTTAAAGATTTTAGATGGCAACTGGCTTTGAAGTGGGTCTTGTGTGACACAGTGCCATTATTAGAATGATGGTAACTTGGAATCAGAATGACATATGGTGAAGTTAGTTGAAGTTTTTCTTTTAAGTAGCGTTGCCAACATATTGCCGAGAATTCGTGGCAGTTGTTCATAGGGTCATTATAAGTTGAAGCCAATGCAAGGGCACCTAACAACAACAGCAAAGTTACCAGCTAGCATTTACTTCAGAAAAGACCATTTTCTTGACCTCTGAAAATTATTTCATTATCTGTATTTTGACAAAACCAAAGATTTGATAGCAGATGAATTAGAAATGAATTTTGTTGGTGAAATGTGTACATTTTAGTTCGTATAATGAATGTTAGAAATGAGATTTTATTGGTAACATGATGATATCTTAAAAATGTGAACTGGCTAGTTCCAAAATAGTTAAAGTCATTGCTGTGGAGTTGGTATGAATGAGTGGGTTATAAGGATCTTCCAGGTGTACATATGACTGACTGACTGCAGCTTGATCTCTGTCAGTCTAGTACCCAGTTATTGATTCAGGGATTTCTAGTTTTGTGCCCCCTAAAGGCACAGAATCCCTCTACCTTGTGATATCATTGTCTGCATTTATGCACCTTCTGCAGCAGGTGTATTGGTGCACCTGAAAGAACAGAGAGCTAGAGTATCGTTGTTGAGCTTACAGAACAGGTTGAACAAACTGTTTTGATAAGCTCATTAGCATATGTTTGCCTAATAAGTGTAAGTGTGAATTTTATCTGAAACATGGTTTCATTGTGACTTCATAACAAGATTGTGCATTGGTAGTCAATTCTCTCCAACTTCAGCTTTGTTTAAATTATTATGCTATATTTTTTTTCTGTAGAGCTAATAATAGCTTTGTAGAAAAGCAAACTTTTTACATATCACTTAATTATTTTTCTGCTTCTTCTGATCATTGTCATGGTTGTTGTTGTTAGGTGCCATTGAGTTGACCATGACTCTTAGCTACCCTGTGGGCAACAGATTTGAGCCTTGCCTTGTCCTGTGCCTTCCTCACCATCTCAGAGATTGTTACAGTTAATGTGTCAATCCATCTTATTGAGAATCTTCCTTTTTTTCTCTGACCCTCTGCCTTCTCCAGCGTGATGTCTTTTTCCAAGGACTAGCCTCTCCTGACAACAAGTCTAAAGTATGTGGGATGAAGTTTCACCATCTTTGCCTCTAGGGAGCACCCAGGTTGCATTTCCTTTAAGACAGACTTTTTGTTCTTTTGCAGACTATGGATAATCACTACTCTTCTCAAAGCCTACAAATCAAAGGCATAAATTCTTCTTCTGCTATCCTTATTCATGGTCCAACTTTCTCATGCATAGGAAGTAGATAAAAATACCATGGGTTGGGTCAGGCACACTTTAATCTTTAAACTGACAACATTGCTCCTTAGCATTTTGGAGAGGTGCATGACAGCAGATTTTCCCAATGCAATGTGTCTTGATATCTTGAGTGCTGTTACTGTGGGTGTTGAGTATGGATCCAAGCAAGGCGAAATCCTTGCTAGTTTCAATCAATCCTTTCTCTGTCTATCATGTTATTGCCTATTGGCCCAGTATTTTTTATTTATTTTTTTTTTAAATCAAGTTTGGTCTTATTTGAGTGAGATCATGTACAAAATTCTACTCAGGAGTGAAGGTATGTGCAAAATCCCGCTTGATTTAATGGGAGGAATCTCCTTGGACTAGGCTGTTTATTTTTTATTGTAGTTTTCATAGAGTTAAATTCTGCTCACCTCAAGCTTCAAAAGACCCTGAAGCTCTGAGTCAAGGGAGCTACAACAATAGTAGCTAGTTGAATGCCGAGCCAGTGAGCCTGTAAGCCTGGCTCCAGTAACACAAGACAGCCATAGACTCAGGCGCTGATGGACGTTCCCTTGGGACATATAACTTGCTCAGTGACCTCCTTTCTTAATTTCTCAAAATGTGGTCCCCAGATCACTTGTATCAGAATTCCTCGAAGGTGCTTTTTAAAAATACATTCACAAGTACCCCCCTAAATATTCAAAGTTTAGTCTTGGTATGTAGCCTTCAGC